GTCAGCCATCTGGGGACCCATCTGTGCCCGCACCAAAGAGCACTCCGGCGAAAGGTCACTCTCACGTCTAGTCGAAAGTCAGGCCTTCGGAGCATTCCGGTGGTCTCCGGCGCACGACGGCTCTCCAGGGGAACGAACGCTGACAGAAGCAGAACGACTCGGAGGGCCGCGCAGATTGCTCGGATCCGCGCTGGACCCTCTCTGGCGGCGCCTCCGGCGCCGCCCCTGGCGCGCTCCGCGCGGCGCCGAAGGTGCCTGGAGGCGAGAAAACCCCCAAGAACCGACGAAAACGCCAGAACCCGCCCGAGAACCCACTGGCTTCTTCACGACGCGAGGATGGAGGCCAATATCCTTTAGACTCTGGCAACTGTACTTGCATGAAGGGGAGGGTGCGAGGCCCGAAACGAAATCTAGATTCCACGCGAGTCGGAACTCACTTGTATGCCTTCTCGGCGCCCAGCGTTGGTTGAAAAGGCAGTCGAGGGGGGGGAGGGGCGGGGGAAAGAAAGAGGGAAATAGCATATGATGCCTGAGTCAAAAAGTAAACGCTCCCGTGCAAGGAAAAAAACACGACGAGAGCCCTGGACTTATCTGTCTGAGGCATTCTTCGACCCGGAACGATCTGTGGTGGCCTCGAGGCCCGATACCGAACAAAAACACGCCCAGTTTTGAGAAATTGCGCAGCCCGGGCGTTAGGGCTCTTCCCCCTTCTCCTCCTCCTCCTCCTCCTCCTCCTCCTCCTCCTCCTCCTCCTCCTCCTCCTCCTCCTCCTCCTCCTCCTCTCCTCCTCCTCCCTCCTCCTCCCTCCTCCTCCTCCTCCTCCTCCTCCTCTCCTCCTCCTCCTCCTCCTCCTTCTCTCCTCCTCCTCCTCCCTCCTCCTCCCTCCTCCTTCCCCTCCTCCTCCTCCTCCTCCTCCTCCTCCTCCTCCTCCTCCTCCCTCCTCCTCCTCCAACTCCTCCTCCTCCTCCTCCTCCTCCTCCTCCTCCTCCCTCCTCCTCCTCCTCCTCCTCCTCCTCCTCCTCCCTCCTCCTCCTCCTCCTCCTCCTCGAAAACAGACCGCCCTCCTGCCGAACTCGCTCTGCCAGCCTGCCCGCCAGAGCCTGGCGGAGGGCATAGATCGCAGGGCGGCACGCTGCGCCCCGCGGGGGAGGGACACGCCTTGGAAGAGTGCCGGTGCAGCACCGGCGCGGGCGCCATGGCCAGCTGCAGGACCTCGCGGAGGGCGAGGAAGGAAGGGAGGAGGATGAGGAGAAAGGAGGAGGAGGAGGAGGAGGAGAAGGAGGAGGAGGAGGAGGGGGAGGAGGAGGAGGAGGAGGAGGAGGAGGAGGAGGAGGAGGAGGAGGAGGAGGCGGAGGAGAGGAGGAGATGGAAGGCGAAAACCCACCCCCACCCCCAGTCCCGACTCCCATCCCCGAACCCGCGATCCTTGGGGGCGGGTCTGGTATGGGGGGGGGGGGGGGGGGGCTTTTCGGGGTCCAAGAGAAAAGAAGAAGACGCCCCCACACCCAGTCCCGACCCCTTGGATCGCGGGCTCAGGGACGGGAGTCGGGACTGGGGGCGGGGGTGGGGGGCTTTACCTTCTGAAGAGATCGGAGGCTCCGAAAAAACCAGAGCGGCCAGGCTTTGACAGCTCTCGGCCCCCGGGAGCCAGCTCGGGCCCCGGGACCGTCACACATCGGCTGAAGACGAGAGGCCGGCCCCAGGGAAGTCCAGACTCCAGGGGGCCCACACATCGAGGAAACAGGAGCGCCAGATGCCTGGGAGAGGAGGGAGGGCCCAGACATGCCCGCGTGCGTCGTGGGAGGCAGCACGGCGGCAGGCGTCGCCAGTGCTCGGCCTCCGGTGGCCCTCGCCCGGCCCCAGGGTCGTCAAGAAGCTGCTCGGGCTGGAAAAGAGGCACCGCGAGCCGCTCGGGGGACGAGGGCGCCAGCCACGCGGCATCCGGAGTGCTGCTGCGGAGCCCCTTGGCCAGAGCGCCAACTCATGGATTTCTGTTAACCATGATGAGACCAAGCTGTTCGGCCACAGCGTTCCGCAGCAGGCGTCCGGATGCGCGCCACGAGGTGTGGAAGGCGCCCCGTGGTAGTTCAGGCAGCTTCTGTGCCGCTGGCGATGCGATGCGATGAAGAGTCAGCCGCAGTGGAAGGGTCGGCACCTCTGGGGGGGGGGCCGTGCCGAAGAGATCGGGACATCGCATGTCTGGGGCGCGGGTTCTCCGACGGCGCGCGCGCGCGGGGCTGGTGCGCAGGGCTGGTGCGCAGGGCTGGCCGCAGGAGGGACCAAGGTGCGGCCAGGAAGGGGACAAGATCGCACGGGCATGAAGCGGGGGTCTCTGAGATGCGGCGGTTCTGGAGGACGCATCGGGCGCGGCGGCCGTTCCAGAGCGCCCCAGAGCGAGCGAAAAAAAAGTAAAGGAAAGAGGAGGAAGCTGAGGAGAAGGAGGAGGAGGAGCAGGGAGGAAGGAGGAGGATGAGGAGACGGAAGGCGGGAAAGGAGGAGCAGGAGAAGGAGGAGGAGGGAGGAGGAGGAGGAGGAGGAGGAGGAGGAGGAGGAAAAGTAGAGGACGAGAGGAGACGGAGGAGTGAAAGGAGGAGGAGGAGAGAGAGGAGGAGGAAAATGAGAGAGGAGCGAGAGGAGAAGGAGGAGTGAAAGGAGGAGAAGAGGAGGAGGAGGAGGAGAGGAGAGATGAGAGAGGAGGAAAGAGGAGGAGAGAGGAGGAGGAGGAGGAGGATGAGGGAGGAGGAGAGGAAGGAGGAGGAATGGTGACAGTGGCCGCGGGGGATCCGGCACGCCCGGAAAGGGCGGGGCAGTGGCGGGCAGGCGTGCCCGCTGGGCGGCCGCCGCGTGCGCCGAGCCGCGCGGCAGCTGCCTGCAGGCCATCTCCAGGGCCTTCGCCGGTGCGCCGGCGGGCGCGCCGCCGCCGCCGCGGGTCCGCGTCGCCGCCGCCGCCACAGGCGTCCTCCTCTCCCCCAATCCCATCGCCCTCCTCGGCCACATCCTCCTCCTTCTGCTTCTCCTCCTCCTCCTCCCCTCCCTCCTCCTCCTCCCCTCCTCCTCCTCCTCCCTCCCTCCTCCCTCCCTGCTTCCCTCCCTCCCTCCCTCCCTCCCTCTCCTGCTTCCCTCCCTTTATCACTTAGTGATGACTCACTCACACACTCCCTGCTTCCCTCCCTCCTCCTTCCTCCCTCCCTCCCTCCCTCCCTCCTCCTCCCTCCTCCTCCTCCTCCTCCTCCTCCTTCCTCCTCCTCCTTCTCCTCCTCCTCCTCCTCCTCCTCCTCCTCCTCCTCCTCCTCCTCCTCCTCCTCCTCCTCTTCCTCCTCCTCCTCCCCCTCCACCTCCTCCTCCTCATCATCATCATTATCATCCTCGCAATCGTCATCGTCGTTTTCGCCTTTGTTGCCCGTGGCCGACACCTTCGTCTTCCCCAAACATCCGACGCCGTGTGTGTTCAAAACGTGGCACTGCCAAAGGGCCCGATAAGGCACCCCGAGGTCCAACAACCAAAACAAGAAAAACATTTTTTTCTGGCGAAGAACCCAACCATACGCAGTGGTGAATACCGCGTTGTGTGTACCTCTCTCTGTGGAACGCCCTATGGGGCCACGAACTGTGTAAGGGGTGTGCCAAAATGGGCGTCGGGCGCATGCGGCCTGTGCCTCTGAGGCCTTCGGTGGAACCCCCATGCAGGGCCGCGAACCATGCAAGGGGTGTGCCAAAATAGGCGTCGGGCGCACGCGGCCTGTGCCACTTGGGCCTTCGATGGAGCTCCTCATGGGGCCACGAACCGTGTGAGGAGTGTGCCAAAATGGGCGTCGGGCGCATGCGGTTTGTGCCACTGAGGCCCTCGGTGGAACCCCCTCATGGGGCCACGGACCGCGTGAGGGGTGTGCCAAATCGGGCGTCGGGCGCATGCGACCTGTGCCACTGAGGCCTTCGGTGGAGCTCCCTATGGGGCCACGATCCTCGTGAGGGGTGTGCCGAAATGGCTGACATGTGGAGAGCAGAGGCAAGGGATGGGAGGAGGGAAGAGAGGAGGAAGGAACGCGGGGCACTGTCTCTTCAAAACGAGGACCCAACACCACAGGATGGCTGGGAAAAATATGTGGGATACTCAGGGAGCACAGGCACACTTTGCGCCTGGCGGCCGCGGCCTGCACTCGCCATGCGTCGATGGCATGATGTGGGCTACCCGTGGAGCGCCAGCACAGTTGGGCCTGGTGGCCGCGGCACGCAGGAAGTGCGAGGCGTGTCGGGGGAATCCCTCTGTGAATTCAACAACCCCAACCCTTCGGGTGGCGACGAACGAAAGAGAACAAGACGGAAAGCGCGGTGCGTTTTGCACGGCGCGGGGATGCCAGAGTCCCCCGGCTCACAAAAAATCGAAAGGCGCCCCGCGGCCTGGGCAAACGGCAACTCCGTGAACTCTGGCAGGGTCTGCACGCCGGCGGCTCCGGGCGGACGCTGCAGCATCCACCTGGGGAGGGGAGAGGACCCGTCGGGGGGGAGGAGAACCCGTCGACCGTTCCTCTGATGGGCTCCCTGAGAGCCTGCTCGGACCCACCGCACAAATCAGCGCGTCGGGAACTGCATACCATACTCAGGCACTGAATCCATGGCTGAACCTTCTCAAACTGGACCTCCCGGTGGGCGACATGGGAGGACACGGCTCGGCAAGCTTCACAATGACTCTGACGCAATAGTTGCCGCCGTACGAGGCGAGGAGACGCACAAGGAGGAAAAGACAGACGGGGAACGCGAACGACAAGGAGGGAGGGAAGAGGATGGGATGGGGAAGACGAGGACGGAGGGAGGGAAGAGGATGAGGTAAATGAAGGCACGGGGGAGCGAGGGAAGAGCATGGAGAAGGAAGAAAAGGAAGAAGGAGGGAGGAGAGAGAGGGAGTGGGGAGAAGGGAAGAGGAGGAGGAAGAGCAGGATGAGGAGGAGGAGGAGGAGGAGGAGGAGGAGGAGGAGGAGGAAGGAGTAGGAGGAGGGACGAGGGACGAGGGAGGAGGGAGGAGGGAGGAGGGAGGAGGGAGGAGGAAGGAGGGAGGAGGGAGGAGGGAGGAGGGAGGGAGAGGGAGAGGGAAGGAGGAAAAGGAGGAAGAGGAGGAGGAGGAGGAGGAGGAGGAGGAGGGAGGGAGGAGGGCGGAGAATGGGGGGCAGGAGGAAGTGGAGCGCGGCCAGTGGCGCCGCCGGCAGGGGCTCCAGCGCCGATCCAGGGAACATCCAATCGGGGATGGACAGACCCCCCCTTCAGTAAAACGTGGTTTAGTGAAAACGACCTGAGGCCCAAACCTGGCGGGCGTAAGCCTGCAAAATAACGGCCACGGCACCATCTCGAGAACCGAAAACGGACAATTGACTAATCGACGTGTCACTGTTGGGGGTTCTGTCCACCCCCGATCCGAGCGGACCTCCGAGAGCTGAGGACTCGTGGAGCGTTCTGCTCTCCGGACGCGGCCCACGGCGAGGGGCGCCGCCTGGGGGCGCTGGCGCCCGACGGCCCGACCCCGACGCGGGCGCCCCGCAGAGAGGGCGCCGGCTCCAGCAGCGGCGGGGTCAGCGCACGGCCGCGACCCTCCGACCCCCTTGTCCTACCCCTCCTCTTCCTACTCCTCCTCCTCCTCCTCCTCCTCCTCCTCCTCCTCCTCCTCCTCCTCCTCCTCCGCCTC